AAAAAAAAAAAAAGAACTCAGGGGCTAGGTGCTCTTGCCTATAATCCCAGCACTTTGGGAGGCTGAGATAGCTTGATGCCAGGAATTCAAGAGCAGCCTGCACAACATGGCAAAACGCTGCTTCTAAAATACTATAAATAAATTACCGGGGTGTGTGGTGGTGCACACCTGCAGAGTTCCAGCTACTCAAAAGGCCAAGGCAGGAAGATCACTTGAGCCCAGGAGTTTGAGGCTGTGGTGATGACCACCACCGTACTCCAGCTTGGGTGACACAGCAAGGACTTGTCAAAAAAGAAAGAAGATGGGGAGAGGCTGACAACAAAAGAAATGAGTGGTCACTGAGTGGTCACAGGACTTTCCAGGCAATAGCCCTGTCTACATGACCCTTCTCTAAGAACTGTCAAGTCTAAGATTTCACTGAGTGTCCACAGCTACCACAACCCTGGTAGTGCTGAACAGTATCTGTTCTATTGGGGTTCTGAGAAACACTCCAATCAGGGTCTTCCAAGCCAGTTATTCATCTGCACAGAAGAGGATTCCCACCCCAAATCCGGTGTTTCAGAACAGAACCTCAGCCAGTAAGAAGGTAAGTCTCAGCAGCCACTGCCCCATTATCACTTACCCTGTGATTTCCCCAGATGACTCTATCCCAATAGTAACCACTGACTCCCCATTTTCTTTTTTGAGACAGGGTCTCACTCTGTCATACCCAGGCTGGAGTGCAATGACACAATCTTAGCTTACTACAGCTTCTGCCTCCCAGGCTCAAGAGATCTTCTCACCTCAGCCTCCTGAGTAGCCAGGACTACAGGTGGACACCACCACGCCCAGATAATTTTTTTCCTATAGAGACAAGCTTTGTTATTTTTTGTACAGATGAGGTTTCATCATGTTGCTCAGGCTGGTCTCGAACCCTTGGTCACAAGTGACCTCCCTGCCTCAGCTTCCCAAAGTGCTGGGATTACAGGCATGAAGCACCGCACCTGGCCACTGACTGCCTTTTTCTGAAGTAGGTTATTTTGGTGACCAAATGGATGACTGTTGTTCTAAAACCATCCTCTTCTATTTGTTTCTTCCCGTGCCTGAATCCATCAAAGTGGAGTAAATAACTTAGGCCAGCTAAACAGGGTCCTTTCCCAGGGCCCTGCAGCCAGCAGCAGAAAATCTCTGCTTTGGATGGTGTTAAGCTGCCTGCCAGAGAGGACAGACCTGAGCTTTAGTCCCTAGTCTTGACAAAAATAGCGAAGAGAATGACCCCTAGAGAGATGCCAGAGTGAATCTCACAGTGCCTAGGTTCCTGGGTCCGGGCCATCTCTGCCTGCAGCTGGAATGTAAACAACAATTCCCTTTAGTGTCTGTTTGGAGTTGTCATTCACAACTCCATGTCTTTCCAAAGATGTTATGGGTGTTCACCTGTCCACTAGCACAGTCTTGTCCAGTGTCCTCTCCCAGCCACCCAGAACCCATAGAAGCAGCTTTGGGTACTGGAGAAGAGGCAGGAGGTGAGGGCTCTGATGACTGCCGTTTCCAAGGTTTTCACTGCCTTTTAACCTTCCATAATGTACACCTCTCGCAATTAGGCCTCTGTGATTCCCAGAAGCTTCAACTATTCCAGATTTTCCCCATACTTTTAAGTTTCACATTTACTTTGAAACTCCAAAATTACATGGATTTTCTTTTCTTTTTTTTTTAAACAGAGTTTTGCTCTTGTTGCCCAGGCTAGAGTGCAATGGTGGGATCTAGGCTCACTGCAACCTCCATCTCCCAGGTTCAAGCAATTCTCCTGCCTCAGCCTCCTGAGTAGCTGGGATTACAGGTGCCCACTACCTCACCTAGCTAATTTTTGTATTTTTTTTTTTAATGGAGTCTCACTCTGTTGTCAGGCTGGACTGCAATGGCACCATCTCAGCTCACTGCAACCTCCAACTCCCTGGTTCAAGCAATTCTCCTGCCTCAGCCTCTGGAGTAGCTGAGATTACAGTCTGGTGCCACTACACACAGCTAATTTTTGTATTTTTAGTAGAGACGGGATTTCACCATGTTGGCCAGGATGGTCTTAATCTTCTGACCTCGTGATTCACCCACCTCGGCCTCCCAAAGTGCTAGGATTTGAGGAGCGGGCCACTGTGCCTGGCCTGGATTTTCTACGTTAGCAGGAAACTTAGGTTCCTTTCTGGTGGGCTGTAAGTCACAGTGGTTATGGGGAGAAAACACAGAAAAGTATGGAGAAAGGTCATTACTAATCCAAAGCCATTCATCATCATACTATAATACAAATAACATGGCCACTACTCCAGCCAGGTTTACTATGTGCAGAGCTCCATGCTAAATCCTCTCCGTGCAACCCTCATGGCAGTCCTATGAGGGATACCCATTTAACAGAAAAATGTGAAACAGGGCCGGGAACAGTGGCTCACGCTTGTAATCCCAACATTCTGGGTGACGGATCACTTGAGACCAGGAGTTTGAGACCGGCCTGGCAACCATGGCGAAACCCTGTCTCTAGTAAAATTACAAAGATTAGCTGGGCATGGTGACAGACACCTGTAATCCCAGCTACTCGAGAGGCTGAAGCAGGAGAATCACTTGAACCCGGGAGTCAGAGGCTGCAGTGAGTCAAGATTGCACCACTGCACTCCAGCCTGGGTGACAGAGGGAGACCCTGTCTCAAAAAAACAAAAAAGAAAGAAATGTGAAACAAGCCCACTCTGCTCTTAACTAAAGAATCAACCCAGGTTGCCTGATTTCTTCCTGAGCCCTGTGCTTAACTGCAGCCCTCTTCAGTCCCAGGAAAAAGGTGGAGGGAAAGTAGAGGAGCAGGCAATGCTTTTCTCTGCTCCTCATCACCCCAGTTCCGTCTTATTAGTTGAAACAGGGTCTTGCTCTGTCACCCAGGCTGGAGTGCCGGGGCATGACCACAACTCACTGCAGCCTTGAACTCTGGGCTCAAGCGATTTTCCCACCTCAGCCTCCTGGGTAGCTAGAACTACAGGCATAGCCACTCCACCCAGCTAATTTCTTCTTATTGTTATTTGTAGAGACTGGTTTGCACTATGTTGCCCAGTCTGGTCTCAAATTCCTGGCCTCAAGAGATCTTCCTGCCTCGGCCTACCAAAGTGCTGGGATTACAGGTGTGCGTCACTGTGCCTAGCCATAAGGTAATTTTATGTTCTCTTGTCTATCACCATCACTACAATCACTACTATCTGCTGAGCTAAGTCCTGCAAACCGCAGAGCTTAGGGGGCAGTGAAGCTGGGAGGGGTCATTCCCCCAGACCAGGGACTGACCCAAAAGAATCGAAAGAACCTAGCCAGGAAATTCCAAGAGAGCATGCTGCAGAGCCAGGTACCTTCAAATGCCCCCAGCAAGATGATCTGGCTCTGAGAAAGGAGGAAACCAGAGGGTACATCTGAGAGCAGAGGCAAGTTAAGAAGTATTGGGGCAGTGCTAACTCTGGATAGCAAAGATTCAGTTCCAAGCATAAGGCAGCCCTAGAAAAGCAGTTGACTACTACTATTGATGAAGGTAGCACTTACTGCAGGCTGGGGATAGCACATTCCAAACAAGAGCACCGTTCTAAAGCTGGGAAAACTGAGGTATGGGCAGTTAGATATCTCAGGCCTTACTTCAGGGCCGCTGGACAGGGGTCAGGCAGGTCCTGGAGGACAGGTGGTCATGGGGGTGAAGGGAGAGGGACTGGGGCAGGGGATCGGCGCGGTGGTCAGTTCTAGGGCCTGAGCTGGAGTCAGGAGCGGGGCGTGGCGTTTCCACGCCGACGGATTTTCGAGACCTGTTGCTGGGGGGAGGGGAGCGAGCCCACCGAGGATGCTGAGTCATGGTAACAGGCGGAGGCGAGGGAGCCGCGCCTCTGGGGTTCCGTGGAGCTGCTGGAGTTGGCGCATCCTCTCCGGGGAGGCCAAGGAGCAGGTGTAGGCGGGGTTGAGCGCAGGCGCGGACGGGGGAGGGGTGCGGAAGCGTGTGCGTGTGGGCTTGCACGTCCGGGTGGGCGGGGCTCGCGCTTGTACGCAGGTCCCTGCGCACTGTCGGGCGCCGGGGGTGCGACGAGGGAGAGAGCTTG